CGCGTACAAAAAGTGTAGCAATGTAGCTTTGAAATGTGGAATAAATTGGTTGTACTGTTGCAAACCAGCAAACATTTCAATTTTACGCAAAAAGTTTTCGCTTGAAAAATCATGAGTTTTATGTGAAACAGAGTTTATTCACCGCATTTTCGTTAAAAGTTTTATGAATTTTAGCAATTTAAAGTGGAGAGCGATAATGACATGTGGAAATGGGAATACTGATGATGATGACTAGTTTTTCGGTATTGGAAAAAAGATGACGAGTGGTCACGTGAAAAATGTGAAATTCCGTTTCTTCACCTCATCCAGTGTTCGGTCTATGCGAATGGGTTGAACAATAAAGTTTTTGACACCTTGAGTGAGTGTTCTATTTTCGCTGACAAAGTGTGAAGCGTTTGTCATCAGAATTCGTGGAATTTTAATCCAAAGTGTCACAATATGGCAAATCCCTCGTGATTTGTGACCGGTAAAATAGTTTGTTTTTTGTCTAGTATGAAACTCTGATTGCATTTTATTTGTGCGAGATTTTTTTTCGTTCTGATTCGGTTTCATCGGCCGGAAATTTCGTCGTATGAAATCATAGAGAATAATAACGCTTAATTACGTGATACACCACAGTACAAGCCATAGTATTATTGCTATGCGCATGCATACGTAAAATGATAATCAAGAATAATAGTATCATTTTTTTTTGTGTAAAACAATAATAAGATATTTAACCATTGTGAATGAGATAAAACGAGTTTGTGTAATCGTAGCTACGATTAGAGCTAATTATAATTACTCCGAGCGATATTTCATCAGCAAACAATAAACAAGCACCGAGACGACAATACGAATGAAAATTGATAAACAAATGCCAATTATTTCTATTGTAACTGGCAGAGGACAAAAAAGGCGCGTGGATAAATAGGTATGACAGTATTAGAACACACAGTCAAAATCCATGACGATTTATGATGAGCACGTGATTGAATGCGCACATCACTAACCTATCCAAATGAAATGTCAAGCCGGCTGCTGAACTTATCTCGCTCTCCTGCTCTCCGCTTTCATCATAGAAATGTGTGTAGTTTTTATGTGGTGATTGCCACTAGACACAGAGTCAACAACACAGCTTATTAAAACTTCATGAAGTCACACCATCCCGGGGTCTCGCCGTGAATTGCGCAATCGTTCTTCGCTCCATTACATTTGCTTTTGAAAAATCATGTGTGTATGCTCATTCGGTTAGGAGTTTCACATAACGTTGAATATATAAATTTACAAGTAAAATCTGTCACTCGCTATCGACACATACACGTACGAACGGTGAATTATGACGATAACGTGTTTCCTTGACTACAAATACTGGATGGCATTTTTACAAAGTTCAGTGGTAACAGTTTTTTGGTGTACCAAAATCCAGAGTAAACATGTCAATCAACATTATCAACGATAAAGCTCCATAGCACCGTATCGAAAGTTTTTCGGAATGAATGAAACGGATTTGGTGAATGGGATTTTGAAGCGAGATAATTCAGTTATGACGGGACTATGTTTTGTTCGACTACTTCTCAGAAGTATCTCAAATAAATTGGTGGGCGTGATCAGAGAAGGAAAAGTTTATCGTACACTCGATTTTTTCCGCAGTCGACATGTAAATTTGTGCCAAAAATTTGATTTAGCAAAGCCACAAAGTGAATTTGTCGCCCAGATCATTGTGATCCACTCATTATCTCTCATCATGTGTGCTACGACGGACGTGACTCATATTCGTTAGAGTGTGTGTGTGTGTGCCGTTGTTGCTAGCACCATAATATGTATATTCTTAGTAATAAAGTACCAAAAATGCTGTCAGATGATCTAGCCATAAATGGCTCTCTATGTATGTCATACCCGGGTAAAATGAATAATAGATACGATTTATGCACATTAGCGGACCGCAATCATGAGCCAGATGCTGCTGTTGGCTCATTTCGAAAATCCATTGATGATATTGGGTCTTTTTTTTCGGATATGTGACCATTCTCTCTCCATACACATTCGATACACAAAATTGGACTGTCAAATGTCACACACGCAAGGAAAGAAGGTCCGAGTCTTTTCATGTAAATTCGAAGTAATTCATATATTGCATGAGACGTTCTACTTTTTCTCTCGCCCTCTCATAGTTTTTTTTTTGCTGATTCGCAGCCACATGACTTATGACAAAATAATATTGTCTAGTCATGTTTCACGTTCAATATGGCTCGTGTCCACAATCCCGTTGCCATTTGCTTCATTTCATTTAATTTTTTGTTCCGATCTTCTTTTCTTGTTGTGGGTAAAATAATATTTAAAAAAAACAACAACAACAACAACAGAGAGAATATGTTCGAATGAACGCAAAAATGGCGGCTATTTTGTGCGAGAGAAGCAGAGAGAAAAAGAGAGTTGAGACCGCGTGCTCTGCGTCGATTTTCGTAGTTTCGCATTTTTGTTCATTTGCCAAAAATAAATTAAATTCTGATAGGTATTATTTTATATTTGTTCTGTTCATATTGTGTTTTGTATTCGTTCCCATTTCTCTGAGCCGATCGGGTGGTGTATGAATATGTATTGGCTAACAATACATTTAATGTATGATTTTTTTTGTTCTAAATTGAAGGAAAAAAAATTGGATGTCATTTATACAATGAGCGTCGCGTTTTTTGTTGTTGTTGTTGTTTACTGACACCACGATTCTTTATTTCGGTTCGTATTTACATTCCTTTTCACACTCACAATCACTTCATTTTATTTCTATTATTATGATATAATTTTTTTTTCTTCTCTCAGTTTGTTTATTATTTTCTGCAATAAAAACCAATTGCAAAAAGGAACGAAGGCGAAAATGAAAATTTTAATGGTCGGGGTTTAAATGCTGCTCTTTTTTTTCAAATGATTCACAGTCCATTGTTGTTGTTTTTCATTCGTTTTTTGTTCTATTTTTTTTAATTTTTTTTTTTCTTGCGATAGTGTTTTTCTTTGTTAATTACTTCTGTGCGATTGATGACTTGATCACGAGGATATGGAATGCGTTGAGGTAAAACTTGTGAAAAAACAGAAAATAAACGGTTCAATTCGTTGTGGTTTTGTGTTAGGTGAGAAATCGAATAAAAATGATGTGTCGTTGGATATAATAAATTACGGCATGTCATTAACAGTGAATGCTCTTGCTTGGGTATTGCATTCATATCGCGCAATATCGATTCAAACTTATATCGGCCGCCGTTGTTTTTCGTTCACATCTAAATGTGTTGATGAATCGCACAACGGTTCACCTTTTGGTTAGTCGTTGGATAATTTACAGCTGATTTATTGTTCTACTACTCGTGAGACTATTCGCTTTCGTTCTTTGCCATTTTCTTCAACAATGACTCCGCAATTAGCGAGTCTATTTCCTGAATCGCATCAATTCTTACGCGAAAAAAAGGGAAGTTTTATTTTGAGAGTTGTGAATCGTCGCAATTTTTTGTTCAAAACACAGAAAACGAGCAAGCGGTTTGCGACGGTTCGTTTTTCCTCGTCGCACCTTGGTTTGGTTCACTCGAAAATTATTTAACAGGCATTTGGCTCAATTTGATTGTCACCACGTTTTCATCACATAAACTCAGTCTCTTTTTTCCCCTACACTCGTACAACAACAGTATTGGCAATATACTTTTTTTGCTTCGCTATAATAATGAAATGGACGTGATTTTTAATTACTTCCGATTTAATTGCAAATGATGAGATTAAACAATGATGCGTTCCAATGAGGTCGTGGTAAAGTGAATATATTTATGGCTTTTGCCATTGGAAAATGCGTTATACCACTCATTTAAATATAGATAAACGTAGAACATGATCAAAATGGAGATGCAAAACAGAAATGTTTGCTCGTGTGACGCTCTGTTCCCAACAAAAAATGCTTCTGGTTTGAAATGAACCGAATAAAAAACAAACCGACGACGAGATAAAAGCATCACAATGAATTTTATATCACTTGACATGCCTATAGATTCCTCTCGCTCTCGCACTCGCTCTGCGTGTGTTCGAAGCTGTTTTGCGAAAGTATGGTTTGTTCATATGTTCATATATGCCGAACGTGCGCGCGAGAAATAAAAAAAACAGCAACAACATTCACTTCAGCTCGAGAAGATTATTCGAAAATATGAACAATAAAACCCACACACAAGTCATCAATAGACAAATCTCTTTCAGCTATATCTCTAATAGCGCTTCTTTTTGTAATGTGTTAATTTTATGTTTTCACTCGAATTCAGCTGTATTTTTCTACGATTTTCACGCTAATTACTATTTCTAATGGTCAATGTGTTCAGTAAGTTTTTAAGTAGGTTTTTGGATGATTTGAACGTCATTAACAACGAGGTCACAAAGATCTTTTCGATTTAACTGACAGGCAAAAAAAACATAAAAATCTTAAGCAATCTCAAGCAATCTCAAGCGATCGCATTTGACTTCACACATTTTATTCCACGATGCACGAGAGAAAGAAAGTTCTTATCAGTCTATCTCTGTCGGTCACCCGCCGAACCGACGATGAATATCGTTTTGTAAAAAATAATCCAATTTACCCTTTTCCATCAATCACGGATTTTTGTTCCGTTTTTTTTTCGTTGGTTTTTATATTTATTCATTTCTAGTGTTTTTCATTCTCTTCCACAGCATCGATCGAAGGCTGTGTTTTTACAGTCGTTGTTGTTATCGTCATGACATCGGTCGCATCTTCATATGCGAATGTGAGCACCAAACAGCAACACACACCAAAAAATTGTTCAACCAAAGAAAATTCATCGGAGCAAATAACGATCGATGCATTGATTTTCGCCTTTTTGGCTTGTTTTCGACGATAATTTCTTCTTAAAAACAACATTGGCCCGAACAAAACCAATCAAATTCATACACCACGAAGAACAACAGACGAAAAGAGACCAGAGAAAGGAGAACGAAAGCAAAAATGGAGAAAATTTGTTTAATGAAATTTTCTTTTTAACCTGAAACTGAATTTTGGTCGAAAAAAATTTCCTTATTCTGACTTTGCCTTCAAACTGGAAAAACTTTTTGGATACGAAATTTTTGCACGCACGCACACACACAGACAGACAATTGAATAACTTTTTTGGTTCTGCGTTTCTACCTTCCAATTTGATTAATTTATCTTTTCTCTTTTGTAATTTTTCTCACATTTATTGCGATGCACTTTTTTTTTCCTGTATACACTGTGATTTGCACCCCACACGACAATGAAAAAAATACACAGAGAAGAAAAAATAACACGAATGATGATTTTCCACTTCGTTGTCGACTACTGACACTATTGTTGGCTATTCAATTGGATGAGCTTGAATATGGATATCCGTTGAACAATCGAACAACAATTTTAAACAACATAGACATAGGGAAAACAACAACATAAACTAACTGCAAAAATGAATGAATGAATTGGCACAGCGCACGTGGTGTACCCAAGAACGTAACATTTAAGACTGAATGCCGAACATGATTCACGCAAACAACATCGAATTTGTCGGATTGCATATAGCTTGGGATTGGGTATGTGATTTTTCGGTTCATTCGTAGTCGATGCCGTTGACGGGCACGGTTGCGCGCAGCCGTGTGTATCGGTTTTTGTGCGGCTGTACGCAAGGTCGTAACGCAGCATGCCGCTTCCAATCGCGGTGAATGTTGGAGGCACGGGAGGCAAGAACACCAACAACAACAACAGTAGCAGCAGCAACAAAGAAAATAACGCACCAAACGAAGCGCACAACAGTCGATTGCCAGAATAAATATAACACTCAGCCGAAGAATTGTGTGCCAGTAGCGTGTTTTGTGAAAAGCTTCAGCGATAAGACTCAGCTGAAGCATCGAAGTAACAAAGCAATAAAAAAAACATAAGAACACAAAGTTTTCCCTTGGATTTGCTGTTTCATTTGATTTCTTCCATTTGGAGTTTGACGAGAAAACGCGTTCCGAATCAAACAATTGAAAATGCAAAGAAAAAAAAAGTCTCTCCTTTTCTCAATTCGCACGTTAATCGAATGGCTAAGCTTTGCGAAAAAAAACAACAAAGTTTTCTTTGAATCGATTTCGTAATGCTCTCTTTTTCTCTCTCGATTATAATGTAAAATGCATGCCAAAATTCACTTTGAGACTTTGCGTCAATGTATAAAAAAAGCGAGTGGAAATGCAGTCTTACTTTGTTGCTTTGGAAATGTGCACACTTTTCGGAGATGGCAGTACAATCAACTCGTCAATGTTTTAAAAATGCTTACCTTTCCACCACGCTTCATCTTTGATTTGGTGCTATTCTTATATGATAAGCTAGCTAAAAAATCATACACATGAATAAATGATGCTTAAAAGCACATAAGAAAACATCGTTTCAAATGCAGGCGATGTTCTTGCTCTCTGTTTATCCCAATCTCTCTCTCGCTCTCTCGTCGATTCAAAACATGGATAAATAAACATGGATTATGCTCGCAGCATATCACGAAGATCGTTCATATTTCGGGCTGGTATGTTGTTTGTGTAATTCCGAACAGAGCTGTCGAGTACATGAACACAAGTTTATTGAATAATGAATTTAAAGCTTGCTGTACGTATGTTTGCTTTATGATCTCCCCCAGCGCGCGCGTCTCTATTCATCTCGCACTTGCCAAACACCAAATATGCAGTTTGATATCAACTTTGATGAAATGTGTGGAATCAAGAGCAGCATGCATACGGTCATTTGGACGCTATGTGTGTGTTCACTTGCTGTTGGTTGTTTTTTTTTGTTTAGTGGAAATTGTATTCCCCCGACAGAGTGTAGTAATGGGTCAATATTTGCGATTGTAAGCGGTAAAAGACAGCTGTTTTTCTAACGTTGTTATTTTCATGTCAATGTTGTTTTGCGCTGATTTTTTTCTCTTCTTCTTCGACTCGCTTTCCGTTTGTTGGTTCTGAGTGGAAGAAGTTATTTTGTGGATGACGAATGAACACTAACCCGTTTTCTTCGTATTAAGAGTTGTTCGAGTGTACTTGTCAGTACAGCACCGCTGGCTATAATCTCCAAGATGCACACAAAAGGCAACATTAAACGAAATGATTTTTTTTTCTGGTCTTCAGCCAAATTCTGTTACACGAAACAAAAAAATGATGTTCATTTGTCTTGGATGAAACAACATCATTCAACATTTACAAGGGTACGATGGAAGAAGAAAAAAAATTACTCGCCCATTTGCAAACGGTCACACACCGCGACGATGAACAAAGATTATCCAAGTTTTATGAGTAGGGGTAACCAGCCAACCCAGACAATTTTCAAACCTCCATGAAAACTTGTATCTTGATTTCGTTTTTCTTTTGTGGCAATTTATTCGATTTTTTTGCTTCTTTTGAAATGAAACGTTCTTTCAAGAAAACTCACACTGAACTGAATGCGAACGTAGTTTGCAAACAAGTAATGCAGCAACAGTTAATATTTGAATGGTAAAAAAGAAGAACTACGAACAAAACAAGAACATAACTTCTTCTACGGCAACTGGCATTCTATTACCAAGTTTGTGTGCAGTGAGAATTAAGAAGAAATTTTTTGGTTTACATTTCACATTTATGGTTATGTGTTGTTGTTGTTGTTGTTGTTGTTTTTTTTTTCATTTGTTGCCGCAAATGCATCATGGCGAATAAACAAAATGAACGATGACGGGCTATACATGGTCGTCAATAATCATTTTTATCAGCCCACGTTCGAGAAATGCGACGTAAGAAACCGCGATAGTAAAAAAAACCGCGGTGATTTTTAATGGCGTACCTCAGATATTGCTTTGTGTCATCCACTCGCTGTGTGTGATAGTACAGCCAATCTCTTGTCGTGTGAGTTTGGCGCCTTGTCGTTTGATTTATTCCAGCTAGTTAATTCCCTATTGTTGAACTATTTTTGGTGCGTGAACGTACAGTACAAACTCTCAAAATTTTGTCACCTTAAATGATGCTTCGCTCGATTGGTTCAATTCTCCCAAAATGTTTTATACTGCTGTCGAGTCACCGTTTCAGAATCGAAAACAAATCGACTTGAATGTTTTTGTTTCATTCATTTGCATGCAAATTGAACGATGCCAACACATCGTGCTCTAGCCAATAGACACAAAAATGTCTTGATTGATTGTTTTAACTCGATTCGATGTATATTTATTTGCAAAGGTGGTGATGTGATCACAGCAAAATAGAATCGAACAAAACAGATCTACTGTCTGTTTACTACAGCGAATGTGATTGCCTGTAGGCGACCTCCTCACTGAATGCGCGCATCGCACATTCTCGCTAAAATGTTCTCATTAATTTCTGTAAATATTTGTTGGCGGTTTCGATAATTGGGAAATCAATTTAAATTGGGCAAAATGACGATATGTTTTGTGTACTTGACAAACACACACACACACATCTCTCAACCCATTTTCATCGAGTCGTATTTTTATTTTGACGTCGCTTTAAACCACATTTTTCATACTTGGCGCATTTGTTCGCTTTGTAAATTGAGGCAATATTTTGATGATTTTTCATGAATATGAAGAATATAAATGGCGATGGGATTTGAAAGCATATACCTTATGTAACATTTAAAACATGTTCGAGACTGATTGCTTTTTGGCACATAAACACACATCGACAGATGCGCTATGTATACCAAAGTGACATCGAAAATACCAATATGACACATTTCGACTGATCGAAATTCATTCCGAAAATAAATGTCGACAACAACTCAAGCGCTCGATGCTTATACGCTTTTTCGCTTTTCTTTTGGGCAAATGTTGTACAAGAAAACTACATTTTAATGCAGCTCATCACAGCCGGCGACAGCAGGCGCGAGTGACGAAAGCACCTCTGTGCTGAAAGTCGAACTCGCTATATATACACGCAATTTCGAACTTTTTCCCTAAGAGGTCATCTGGTATGAATGAAGTATCGTCAGAAAGCCCTTGGCTCATAGGCCCGGAAAATGCATTCAAACTTGGGAATCGACCAACCGCCTCCATAGAAATAGCCACTTGAAAATTATGTACAATTATCAGTCTTTCCCATTTACCGGGTGTTGAACGCGGCCCGTTCAATTTGAAACATGTTTTTTCTGAAGCTCCTCGTTGAGACCTTTCCAACAAGCCCAAGAACGTCGAAATCGGACCATCCGTTCATGAAATATGGCGATTTGAAAATTTTCTTTGGCGTTTCCACCAATCATTTTGAAATAATAGTTTTGTCTGTGTGTCCGTCCGTACTTTTTGTCCGATCTTTTTCAAACTTTCAGGCATTGAAGTATATCAAAAACTAAGACTTTTTTGTTTCGCCATTTTTTGATTTGGTCGCCATCATGGCCTTGGCCGGCCTTTGAAAATTCAAAAAATGACCTTCCTTTCAATGGCCACTGTGCCCAGTCCAGTTAACCGATCTCAGACTTTTGGGTATAGTTGGAAAGGTCTCGAGGCCAGCTATCGAATGACACCATTTGAAGAGGAAAAAAATTAAGTTGGCTTGGTCTTATGGGCAGAAACTCAAAAAAATGGTCACCTGGCCTTGCACAAATCGGCCATTTTCTCGAAATCGGCTCCGACGATTTTTTTGAAAATTCTCTAGAATTTAGCCCCAAGTTAGAGCTAAAATTTGACATATAGCTTATATCTGGCAAAACTCTGTTTTTTGAGATATGGCCATTAGAAGTTGGAAAAAACATGAAAAATCGACAAAAACCAGCTAAAACTCATTTTTCTTGCCTTTAACAAAGGCAAAATCATAACCAAAGTGTTTTTGAGTTCAGATGAATAAAATTGCTTCAGATACCAGCTCCTCACCAAGTGTTTTTATTCCACGCAATCAACAAAAAACACAAAAGAGTACTTTTCATGAAAAAATCAAAATTGAAAAAATGCGTCATGAAAAAACTAACCATGTGATAGTTTCTTAGTATAAAAGCGATATGTACATGCATTAGTGCCGCGAAGTGTTTCAATATTTTGATCCGTTCAAATATCGATTTTATTCATTTTATTTTTTTATTTTATTCAGAAAAGTGTTTTGGTTTTGTTGAGAAAAATTTTTTTGGGTACAAAGCAAATGATATCAAATAAAAAAACTTCTTTCGAAGTAATTCCTCGTGACGAAAGCGAAAACAAAACAGCTGATATCAATTTTAAAAAATCATTTCGGAGCGATTTGGATTTGTTTTTTTTGCATTCTTCCAACTAATTTCAGAATCACTCCGTAATGATTTTTTAAAATTGATATCAGCTGTTTTGTGTTCGCTTTCGTCACGAGGAATTACTTCGTAAGAAGTTTTTTTATTTGTATTGAATATAAGCCAACTGAAGTATATTTTCTTCTATATATCGAATGCACGCGCTTGTCATAAAAAAAATTCCAAATCATTCAATATGCCAGCACAACAATAACGAATAAAAAATATATACACTTTGAATTGCAAAAGCATTT